CTTTCTGCTGCACATCTGTGTGCGTCCACCTGTTCTCCCCTGTGCACAGTGTGTAAATGTTGTGAGTGTAACCCTCCACCTGCAGTAAAGACTGCAGCTGTTGAAGCAGAGACATCCTGTTTCCACTGAGTTTAGCTCTCAGCTACATGTTACTGGTGAGTCTATTTAGGAAATCTTCCCTTCAGTTTGACCTCTGACCTTTGCCTACAGTACTGACATCAGTATCTACAGCAGGTGCTGGGGTTTGTTGCTGACCTTTGACCTGTAAATGAACGCTTGTCAGTCTTTGCTCTCCCATCACTGATGGAGCAGGTGTAGTTGCTGCTGTCAGTCTGTTGGTTTTCTCAGAGTGAGGCTGAATCTGTGTGATGTGTGACCATCGTAGCGCTGTGTTTCTCCTCTAAGATCATCTCCTCCTCCTCGTGCACAGATTTGGCATCAGCTGAAGAGTCCACATCACTGTGGCCTTCTAAAGTATGAAGCTGAGTACTTGCAGTCGTGTTTGTTCGTTATTACAAACACATTCCTCTGGACACAGACCAGCTACACACAGCTCTGCATCTGCTGACGTCTTTAGAAATAACTCTGAAGTCACTCTGACCTCTTTGTGAAATGTTTCAGTCTTTGTATTATAAATGCTGCTCGAGCTTCTACCCCCTTACAAACTTTATCCTCCTCTCTGGTAAATCAAAGTAAGGAAACACAAGGGAAGAAAAGAAATGAATAAAACAGCTTTGAGGAAAATTAAACACCAGCCCAGTCTGTGTCCTCTGTGAGACCTTTGAAAAACAATGAAAATCTCTAAACATTCAGTCAAATGTGACCCAGAGTTCACTGGGTCAGACCTCAGCACTCTCTGTGTTCTGGATATTACTGATTAGAGATCAGCAGGTATGAACTCACCACCTACTGACCAATCAGGTCTGTGGAATAGCACCACTATCTCTGGCAGATCTCTGTGCAGACAGTGGGAGGGTCTTTGTGTTTCCCCGATGAGCTTCAGTAAGAAAGATTTTTAGACTTTAACAGTTTCACAACAAATCTGTTCCTATATAGGCTTTCATATATATTCAGACCGTCCATTCCAAGTAGTATGTCAAGCCTACACTTGAATCCTGTGTTTGTGTTTATTCTTGCTCTCAGACCATTAAACAACATTTTAAGAGGCTTTAACAAATCTGACATTTATTCTTCATAAGCGGGGTGTTCCTGTGGCTGCGGGAAACTTGGTAAAATGAAAGTGTTGTCCTGTCCCAGCCCTCTCCTACCATGGCCGCTCTCCAAGACATTTTTTATCCGAAGGCTGTGCAGCTCATGATACAGGAGACGTGTAATTCCCCTGCTGCTGCTGGTTTTAGGTTTTTGTTGTTTCTGTTTCTTTAAATAGAAGCCGACACAGCAAAGATGCTTTGTGTTTTCTGTTCTGTGAGCCGACACAGACATGTTTGTTACAGGATGGATTATGATGATTGTGGGTCAGATATTCATGCTCCCCTCAGGACTTGTATAATGTTTATTAGCATCGGGACCAAGTGAAGAAACCAGATATGAGCATATTGGTAGTTTGTGCTTTCATCTAATGAAAGCATACTGTACTGTAAGAACAGAGGTTTATGGCTCCATAGTGTAGAGGTTAACATGTTCAGTGGTGACAATAATCGCCTTTGTGTTGCATTTGGTGTAAAACATGCAGAGCTGTGTGCTGTGTCTTGTGATGAGGGAGCAGCTGAAAGTAGCTGCTGTACGAACACGTCCATCACTGAGTGATCTGTTTGAGGGGACGGAGGTGAGTCTGTCACTTGGATCTACATCCGGATGAACAGAATCAAGTTTTTAGGACGATCATAGTACGACTTTACAGAAATAAAGTAAACTACAGTGAGGGGCTTCATTTAGTAAACTCATGTTACAGAGTTTGTCGTTTGAATGCTTAAACCACTGCGACCACTGCAGAGAACAACAGCAATCTCACCTCCTCGACCAGGACAGGTTTACCGTCCTCCTCTAAATGTCACACAATAATAAAATTGTGTGAAACCCAAACTGGACAAAAGGGAATCCCAGTGAAGAACAGACTGCTTTCATTGTTACAGTCAGGTTGTACAAACCAACATGTGTGACGAGCAGGATAAGCAGTCACATGAGGCTGGTTACCAACTCACTAAGTTAACCCAGAGTTTGCTCATACGTTCACATGAAAGAGGCGGTGCTGGCAGCATGTAACCAATCAAAGGGGGTGTTTGATGGATCACATGACTCCACAAAAAATGATCCCTACGAGCTCCACCTACGAGAGACTTATTATCATATAGGGATTAAGAATCTATAAAAGAACATGAAGGAAACGGTTTCCAAGGCCTAATCCGTGGATCGACTTCCTTCGAGGCGTGGACGTCTATCAGCAGAGAATGTACCTTCACCTATCAGCAGAGAATGTCCCTTAGTCTGTAACACAGTCAAATATATTCTCAAGTAATATTCAAGCATGCCATTCAGCGTGTTAGTACGAGCTCGGGAGCAGCTTGGGAGAACAAGAAAACAGAGACTGCTTTAGATTGTCTTCCCAAAGTGACTCAACTTTATTCACAAGTACAACAGTTTATATAGAGGGTAAAATTCATGAGACAGCAGATTATCAGTTTAAACCAGTACAGACCAAGATAAGGCAGCGTCTTCCTGCCCTTGGGTGAAGAAGCATCCTTTGTGTAGTGTATCAGTTCAGCTACAATTGTGATTATCTCAGCGACATATTTTCAAGGCACAAAACGAAGAGTTCTTACATTAGTGAAATCTGAAACAAACCATTTGGCCTTCAACAGGCGTCTAAAAGATTAAGAAACTAATGTAGCTGAGGGAGTGATCTCTGTGGTATTTCAACCTTGTACCAGCCTGTGATTCTCACACATCAATTCTTGGGTCAAAGAGAAAAACACTGAAACAAAGGGGCCTTATTGAATGACAGAGTTTTCCTGCATAATGTCACTATAAAACAATATCCAGTAAATGCTACCATGGTACTAAAATACCTAACAGAACACTATTTGCTGCAGCAAATCATTAACCTGCTGATTTAAAGCACAGAGCAGTGAAATAAAGGTTTTGATTCCAGTCGATGGTTTTGTTGCTGAGCGCGCTCTCAGTGCTGCTGATTATTTCTCAGGTGATGGCTGCACATTAAACTGGACCAACTGAAACTATAACGCTTATTGTCCAACAGCCTGTGGAGCTTCATTTTCATGCACATCACAGTGTGAGTGGTTGAACAGGTGTTCACTGCTATGCAGATGACACCCAGCTTTAACCATGAAGCCAGATAACACTTGCAAATATGTAAGACTGCGTTCTTCCATTTGTGCAACATCTCTAAAGTTAGAAATATCCTGTCTCAGAGTGACGCTGAAAAACTAGTTCATGCGTTTATTACTTCCAGGCTGGACGACTGCAATTCATTATTATCAGGAAGTCCTAAAAACTCCCTGAAAAGCCTTCAGCTAATGCAAAATGCTGCAGCAAGAGTCCTGACAGGGACTAGAGAGAGAGAGCATGAAGTGGCTGCTTGGTGTCTCCAGTGTAGGTCTGAGAACTGCTCGCTGCTCTGCACAGCATACTCTATGTTTGTTCACTTTTTTTCCAAACTGCTTAGACGACCATGACCTGGATGACTGAGACACTACACAGGCTTAGAGTTTAAAGCATCTTGAGACGACTGTTTTTGTAATTTGGGGGTACATAAAGAGAAAGAAAGAAATCTAGAAAGTCAGAGCAGCTGTCTGTGTTATGACCATCAATACGATCATACTTCAAATAGCAATACCGTCATGTTCAATGAATCCAAATCAACCTGATGATCAAATGACCTCAGATGAGCTGCTTCCTCCAACCAAACTAAACCACTGAGTGGATTTGTTCCCTCTGTAGTGTTGAACACGAACAGCTTAGCAGGATGAAGGAAACGAGACAAAACCTCAGTGTGTAAGAACAGGATCAGAGCCTGAAGTGAGAATTCCTCCATGATCTGCATCCAGACTTCAGTAGAGCCAAACAGACTCAGACTGTCTGCTGGACTCTTCCACACATTCAGAGCTCAACATATACACTACACACTAAATAGTTGGATGGTGTTTACTGGCAGTGTTTTGTTGCTGTTTCAGACTCTGAATCAAGCTCAGCAGTGTGTTTCCTGTTTTTCTGTCTTTACATTGTTCCTTAAAGGTTCCTCCAAGTTTTCTCACTGTTCCTCTGATCCATGCAGATCATCATTACAGGCATTCAGCTTTCTTCTTCTACTCCTTCTTCTCTGTGTGTCATGTCCTGTTTGAATCATCCATCTGTAGTCAGGAGCAGCCGCTCCATTACAAACACGACAGCAGAACAACAACACTGGATCAGATTAAATTGTTATGACCGAGGTTAAATTCATAGAACAATAATTATTATAATATGTTAGATCAAAACCAAATTGACAAGTTAAAAAAGGCGACCTGTGATCATGCTGTTTGACATCATTGATCAATCACACAGATCAAACTGATTGTTACGGCCCGTCTAGACCAGCGGTCCCCAACCGTTTTTGCGCCACGGACCAGTTTGTGCCCGACAATATTTTCACAGACCGGCCTTTAAGGTGTCGCGGATAAATACAACAAAATAAACCAGTACCGGTACCGAAAAAAAATGAGATTTATTCATAACACACGTGAAAAGACCCAGGAAAACCGAGTTAACGAAAAAACGAAAACAAAATAACGCTGAAAACCGATAAAAACCCTGAAAACCATACATTTCACACCCGAGTCTCACTCTCGCAGCCCGGCACCAAATGAGAGATCGGTGTACTCATTATCATCCTCATCAGTCTGTGTATTTAAGCCCTCTCTTTCTACTCGTTCACTGTCGTGTCATTGATGTTGTCCTTCCCGTGTGTTCCCTCAGTTCAGTCCGCCATTCAGTTGTCCAGCCAGTCAGTGTCCGTTCACCCACTCCTTATAATAAACCTCACCTCCCTGCCAGTCCTGCGTTTGGGTTCCTTCTTCCTCGCCTCCACACAACGCCTGACACACACATGTGAACACTGCAAGGTCAAAGTTCTGTTTTATATTAATACATCTTCCTGTGTGTGAGTCACCTGGGGTTTGGTTCCTCTCCGGTCTGGCAAAGGGCTGGGAGAGCTGAAGTACCACTGTCAACCGTCATGCCTCATTGCCTGGAGGGTGTTTCAAGTTTAATTGGTTTGTATTAGTTGGTTATATGGCAGCCATTTTGTTTTCCTCTGTGTGTGTCATGTGTTATAGCTAAACCAGTATTAATGTTCCCCCGTGTGTCATTTCAGGAGGTCAGTTTGTCTTATGTTTGCTTGAGGTTTCGTTAATTGTTACCTTGAGCTTAGTCTATTGAGTTGACCTGTTTTGCTGGTCTGCCTGTTTAAGTTTTGGCTTTGTTAAATATCTTTTTATACTTTTGGGTCAATAAAACCCAATTTTTTAAATTAAACATCTGTGTCCTTTATGCTTTACTGCTTGGTCCCTGAGACAATGATACAAACAACATACTCAAAGAAATTAAACCAAATGACAGCAGCGTACCTCCAAAACTAACAAAAACAGGAGAAAACAGCGATCAAATACAAAGGCAGTCCACCCCTACATGCTGCTGTGTAAATATGTTGTCTCCATGTAGTTAGCCAATCTGCAGGCACCGTCTCCAGGTGCATATGAGAGACAACATTACGACAGCAGTCATAACACTGATTGATCAGCCGTCAGAGGAGTCGGATCAATGGAGCTGCTTCTGGTCCTGATGTCCCCTGTTTGATCCTGGACCTGCAGAGGAGACACAAGACAGTCAGACACAATCACACAAGCCAGCAAACAAACAGACAAACCAACCTTTGACTTTGAGCAGCACAGTTTTCTTTCTGATGAAGGTTCCCTTCCTCCACACCAAACACTTGTACTCTCCACTGTCTCGCTCTGTGGGCTGTTTCAGGGTCAGACTGAGGTCTCCAGTTTCCAGCAGGTCTTTGTTCATCACAGTTCGGCCTCTGTAAACCTCGTGCTGTTCTTCAAATTGGTTTGGGCCGTTTGTAAACACGTGAGCCTTCTGGAACGGCTCGTAGCGTTCCCATATCACTTGAATTTCCCCCGACAGGTGTTTTGTGGTTTTGAAGGGCAGCTGGACAGACTCCACCCCCTCCTCCACCTCCACCTTCACTGGAATCACTGAAAGAACAGCAAACACAGACAGCAGCAGGTTTTCAGAGGTGTAGAGAAATACCATGTCCTGTTTGAATCATCCATCTGTAGCTTCACTGAATGCTGGAGGTTCAAAGAGTCTAAAGCACAAAGTCTGATTTGTGTTTACGGAGCAGCTCAGAGCAGATCTCGCTGTTCTCACAGGGGGAACGTTACCAGGTTTTCTCCTGGAGGTCAAAGTTCAGCAGGTGTTTGTTCACTTCTCCTTTTACACTCTGATCCTCGAGGACACAGGAGGAGCTTTCAGACCAAACTCTCGTGCAGACTCTCTGAGAGGAACTGCCCACTGAGGAGCTCCTCCGACATCTACAGACTAACAAAGACTTGTTTTCTGTTTGAATGACACCACCAGCAGGGACAGGCTAATGTAATGGAAAAAGGTCTCCCCAATCTTACTGGTGGAATTTGAAAAGAATACAAAAAATGATCCCACGAATGAGAAATGTGGGTGTTACACAACTCTTATAGCAAGGGGATATAAAATATAAAAGGAAGACACAAAGTGGTCCTATCTACATAAGCAACTGAACTTTGTATATGCAGGTAACAATGTACAGAAATATTAATAGAAAACTGTACGGAGTAAGATAGCAGTAAGATGAACAATGGGCTGTGACGGCAGTTCTTTGATCATTAATATTCAAATTAAATATTTACATATTAATGAATAAATTAGCGGAACAAGTCAAGAAACCCCAGAGGACACCTGCTAACTATATGCATTATGGGTAGTGTAGTATGAGAGACTCACCTGACACCAAGGCATGACGGAAATGAAACAAAAGACTCGCAGAAACAACTACAAGAAGAAGCAGGAAAACCAGGAGAACTGTGGCCAGGATGGAAACGGTTCTGTGGACAAACAAAACAATATCACATGACTGCTGAACGCTGCACTCAATCTGCACTGACCTCTGACCTGTAGCTACATCTCTGACCTTTGACCTGCAGCACTACTTTCTGTCTCAGGATGTCTCTGTCCCTGTAGATGGTGCAGATGTATCCTCCACTGTCTCTCTCTGTGGGGTATTTCAGGGTCAGACTGAGGTCTCCAGTTCTCAGCAGGTCTTTGTTCATCTTTGTGCGACCACAGTAAAGGTCGTCCTGGTGGTCGCTTCCATTTGAACACCCATGGACCATCATGAGTTCTCGGTCAGAGTGAGTCCACTTCACTGTGGTGTCCTCAGGCAGGTCAGGTGTTGTGTGCAGGCAGGATGACGGAGTCTGAGCCTTCCTCCACCTTCACCTCCACCTGCTGGTCTGAGAGAACAAGAAACCACAGTATCAGCAGCAGCAGTCACACTGATGATAATCAAAGCATCTGTGTTTGAGATGGTCCTGTGTCTTTGACCCAGTCTTTGAGCTGCAATTATAAAATGTTCATATTTGAGTTTTCTATTATATTTACATTCTATTTTATATGACTTTTGTATTCTTTTAGTGCATCTGACTTTTTTTAGTCAGACCAGTTTGTCTCTGTGTCCTGTCCTCAGTGTGCTCATGCTAGTTTTCCTCAGATTTCCTCAGTCATGGTCTCTTTGTCTCCCCAGCTTTGTTTTGATGTTTCCAGACTGGTTGTGTTTATAAAATGTTTCTGCCATTTTTTAGGTTTAGATTACTAGAAAGACCCTTTCTACTACCTTTTGCTGTGACCTCTGACCTGTGTCAGCACTGTACTCATGTTTGACTTGTAATTACAAAGGTTATTGGGGTTTTTGACCTTTGACATGCAGCTGTACGTCTGTCAGTTTCAGTTCCTCCCTTTCAGTGCGGATGGAGCAGGTGTAGTCGCCACTATCAGTCAGTCGGGGGTTTCTCAGAGTGAGGCTGAAGTCTCCAGTGTCCAGAGCATCAGGCCTCATTGATGTGCGCCCGCTGTAACGCTGGTTTTGTCCGCTCAGATCATCAGTTTCTTCTTGTCTCAGATGGACAGATTTGGGGTTGAGATCAGTGTGAGTCCATATCATTGTGGGGTCCTCAACTACAAAACCTGTGTACTGACAGGGCAGCAGGACAGACTTTGCCCCCTCATACACCTCCACCATCACAGCCAGGACATGATGCGAAACTGGAAGGAGACACAAAAAACAGAAACACTAATTAACTGTAATTAGCCCATATAATGAGGATAGAAAGAGACAGAAATCCCCCTGATTTTTCTCTCCCTACATCTGAGCAAGTGTGGAAAGGTTTAATATCATTTATGTGTGAAATGATAAAGCTCTAAAAAAGAGCTTTTCCATACAGTGGGATGCAAAAGTTTGGGCAACCTTGTTAATAGTCATTATTTCCCTGTATAAATCGTTGGTTGTTACAATAAAAATGCCAGTTAAATATATCATACAGGAGACACAGTGATATTTGAGAAGTGAAATGAAGTTTATTGGATTTACAGAAAGTGTGCAATAATTGTTTAAACAAAATCAGGCGGGTGCATAAATTTGGGCACTGTTGTCATTTTATTGATTCTAAAACCTTTAGAACTAATTATTGGCTCGGTAAGCTCAGTGACCCCTGACCTACATACACAGGTGTATGTAGAAAGTGTAGCTGCACTGCAGGAGCTTCGTTTCAGATAACAGAAAATTGCTGTCTGGGTTTCCCATGAACTGTTGAAAGACTGCACGAGATGAATTCAAGCTATCTAATGGATAGCCACAGATAGTGGATATCTAATTATGCAATTAGACCCATTAGTCTGACACAGAGACAGACAACTATTCACACCTACGGGCAAATTAGAATCACAGATTAACCTCAACCCCACTGACTGCATGTCTTTGGACTGTGGGAGGAAATCCTGAGAGAACCCACTCATACACGAGGAGAACATGCAAACTCCACACAGAAAGGCCAGATGCTGCAGTGAACTCAGGACGTTCTTACAGTGCATCAGTAAACTCATCGACTCGTGAATTTTCTTCTCTCCTTCTTAAATCCTGCCCTCTGAGGCAGCATCAGAATTATGATGCGAATGCTCTGTTGCCAAGATCAGCTCCGTCTCCTCTGGTTCATGTGTTTCTTTTATCTTTTTGTTTCTTAATTTCTATTTGTGTTGTTTCAGTTATTAAAAATGTATCTGGTGTACAGTATGATGATGTCTAAGGCAGGACAGGCAGGAGGAAAACATGGGTGGAGGAGACTTTAGGAAGATGTAATAAATGACTAGAGCACAAATAGAAATGAACAGCATATCGCCAACTGCTCTATTGGTAAGAGAAAGAACAACAAATGTACAACATCTGGAAAATAAACATCTAAAAATTCACAGCTACATAAATCCACTTAAATCTTATCATGGTGTGTGTGTGTGTGTGTGTGTGTGAGAGAGCGAGCGAGAGCGTGTATGTCTTCAAGTTAGGCGCACACACATTTTATAATAATTGATATAATATAATGTGTTTTTCTGGATAAACTGTGCTTTTTCAGCATTCAAAGATTGATGACAGAGCACTGGCTATGAATTTCAGAAGGATCAGGCCTTAACTTAACAGAAAAGTTAGCAATAGTTCTTTTCCTATTACAGCTACATCCACTTCTGTCGTGCCTAGGCTGCTCATAGGGCTGGGTATCATCACTGATTTCTATAATCCATTCGATTCCGGTTTTCAAAGTCCCGATTCGATTCAACTTGGCCTCAGACAGTCAGAAATATTATAATTCTGATCATTTATCAGTACTGACTTCATCAGAATTGTGAACATCACAGCAGATGCCTTTGTGTGAAAGTAACTGAGAATAAAACACAGAAAAACATGAAGGAGATTTTCCTGGTCTGGCTTTTTATAGCAGATAACCTTAAAAATATTCTACAATGTTCTGCATATAAAGTTTCAATTTCTTCAGTATTGACCAACAGAAAAAATAGGCTTTCTTTTCCGAGGTCATTTAAGTGAAAAAGAAAAAGACAGCAGCCACAGCGCTGTAAACAACGGTAGACTGGTGGGTAATAAGCGAATGAATAATACAGAAAACAGAGATTGGAGACGGGAAACTGTTCTTGAAGTACAGAGAGAGAGAGAGAGAGAGAGAGAGAGCTAGCTGTGCATGGAGTGTGATTTTAATAGTCGTGGAAGCAAAACAGCAAAATTCATGACGACATTGATCAAATGTGAAGCGCAGTTTGCTGCTTCTTTTGCTGCTGGCTCGGTGGATTTTGGTTGGAGAGACAAAACCTGCAGCTCAGAATCAGCACAAAAAGACGTAAACACAGCGGACCGGACGCATCAGGATCGCTGAGCTCCAACAGCGTGTCCGTCTGCGGGCCGTCGGGTGAGAAAGCCGAGAAAGACAAAGCTGATTCTGATGCGTTGGTTCTGTGTTTACGTCTTTGTGTGGAGTCTGTGTACCTGCTCTCATCTGCTGTTTGGTTGTTGTTGAAATGGTTTTGTGAGCTTTAATCTGAGAATCTGGCGTTTCTGGCAAAACACAGTTATATTTAAAAGTCGATTCAGGGTTTAATGAATCGATATCGCTTTATTCAAGCTACTCACCTCCCACTTCCACCTGCACTTTCAACTGGACCACGGCCAATCAGAGAGGTCCCGCCCCTGACTATCTCTGATTGG